TTGGTGCAGGATGGAGGGACTGGCCTTCCTGGGGGCGGGGCGGGGGACAAGCATGGGAGGAGATGAGGCAGGGGGCACGGGGCTGGATGCCCTGGCCTCTGAGCCTGGGGCCTCTACGGTTCTTTCTCCCACTGCTGCCAGCTCAGGGATGGAGCAGCCTAGTGAGCTCACAGCCAGGGCCTGGCCCCTTCCCAGCTGCTCTCCGCTTCCCCTTGTGCCCGGTCAGTTCAGGGACTACCTGACCTTTGTTCTGCTCCGGCGGCTAGAAGGTTCTGAAGGAAGGTGGCTGCGTATCACAGGACCTCCTTCCCTTGGTTCCTGGAGGCCCGCGGCCTCAGCCTGAGGCTACATCTGGGTTGATGATGACCTTGTCCGCTACTGGCCCGAAGCCTCTCTGGGTCAGTCATGCTGGCACCTTCTTCTGTTCTTCACACAAGGTCCGAACGCCACCTGTGCTCTGTGGGCCCAGGTCACACAGATCTAGTTCAGCCATCCCTGCCCTAAAGGAGTCCACAGCCCAGGGAATGGTGCCCTTTTATGTACCTCCCCTGTGCCACTGACATATACCGTCTCAATATCAGCCCTGCAAGGTAAGGGGTTATTTTCCCATTTTGCAGATGAGGAAACTGAGGCCCAGAGGGGTTCACTTGCCCAAGAGGCAGAGACTGGTCCATCTGCCTCCCGAGCCCAGGCTCTTTTCATCTCCAAATTTCACAATAGGATTGAAGGCCAAGTTGGTGGGTACCGAGAGTCTGTGCAGAATTGCTCAGGAAAATGTCTTTAAGGGCTGGAGGAGATTTGGCCCAGTGTGGAACCCAGGGAGAGGGGAGCGAGGAATTGCAGGGTCCCAGCTGGCAAGGTGGATTTGGGGGAGAGCTGTGCAGGGCTAGCTCTCAAAGGGGACCCGCAGAGGACTGCCTCCATCAGGATGCCTGGGTTCGATCCCACCTCCAGCTTCCCCTACTAGGTGACCTTGGGTATGCCGCTCAACCTCTGACTCCCCTCTACTCATGCATATTTGAGCCTTGGTGAAATTAGCAAAAGGCTGCCCTCTTCCAGGGCCATGTCTGCTGGGAAAGGGCCATGATAAAAATACACACTGATGGTAAGCATCATGAGTGCACCTTCTTAGTGATGGGGTCCACTGCTCGCTCACTGTATGTGCTGGCTCTTCGCTGAGGCTTGGGGTCTTCATTTGCTCTTGGATGGGGATAAAAACCCACAGATAGAGACCCCTAAGCTCTGTGCAGACTGGGAGAGGTGAGGGAGGGCCAGCGGGTCCACCATCCCTCACAGCTGGCCGTGACCCCAGAGCACGCTCCTCCCGGGAGGAGGCCCAGGCCTCTCTCCTGTCGTAGCCCCACCAAGGGACCTGTGCTGCTGTCTGGTGCCCCTTTGTTGGTGGAGCTGCTGCCCGCCTCTTCCTCCGCCAGTTTGTGGCCTTCCCTTCCCCTTTCTTCCAGCCCCTACCATCCAGTTTTTTCCTCTGATTGTTCTTACAGTGACCTGCCGCCTCCCCACTGGGGTTGGGCCTCTCCATCCCCATCTACAGGCTCCTTGTGGCCTTGGAGCCCCCACCTTCCAGCTCCCAAGATTTTCATATCTAGGTGGCCCCCAACCCCAGTTCATGCCTGGTTCTGGTAATAGGGTTCCTAGCTCCTTGTTGCTTAGGCCTGGCCCCCATCTCCACCATGCCCTGGGCATCTCACCCACCTGCCATCTCAAGTTTTCTCATCTGGGACTCTGTCCAGGCCCAGGGCAGGGCAGTGCCTCAGTCTTGCTCTGTCCTCCCTGCCCCGCTGTCAGGATCTGGCCAAGTGGGACAGTGGTCCTCAGTGCAGAGGGCTCCTGTCTGCTGTGGGCCCCCCAACCTCTGTGGTCTCCCTGGCCATCTGTCGGAATTGCCCCCAGGTCCTGCATTGAACCTCACCCTAGACCCTCTTCCCAGCCCCTGGAGTGGGTTCTCTAACCTGCCATGGTCCCTGAATTCAGGTTGCTCGCCTGGGATAGGACCCATCATCGGCTGAGGCTCACCCCTCACCCAGAGCCCCCTCAGAACCTTGTCTATGGACCACAGGTACAGCGGCCTTGCCCCTGCTGAGGTGGACGATCTCTGTGGACAGATGGCGCCCCCACCACTGGCAGCTGGGGCTGCACAGAAGCCCACGGGCCCCTCTGTGGGGTGTGGGTGGTTAGCCCCCAGTGAAACCTCTCCTGGGTGGGTGTCCTCAGGCCAAAGTGGGAGAAAGGGTCTTTCTCAGCTATCGTTTCCTTATCAAATCTTTCTTACGCTCCCACCCCACCCTGGGAATGTGAAGACCACCCAGATCTCGAAGGCGCTTACGGTGGAGCAGAGAAGACCCACAGAGGCAGTTACAGAGTTGTGGGGTCTCTGCCCGAACAGACATGGGGGCCAGGGTTCTGGAAACTCTGTGGAGAGGAGGTTCTCCCTGCTGGGACAGGGAAGGCTACGGGGAGGAGGAAGGTCGCCCCGTGAACCAGAGAGGGCTTGCCTTCTAAATGAAGGGTATGGCTTGTGCAGAATTATGGATGAGGCCTGTGAGAGCCTGTGTGAGGAACTGGGGGCTATTCGGTGCGTGGCCTCTAAGGCCCAGGTGCGGACACAGAGGACAGCTGAAGTCTGTGAGACTCTTGAGCTGGGGCATGACCAGAGGTGGCTCGGTCTTGGAAGACCGATGTTTAAGCTGGCCTGGGACCAGCCAGCTGCACTCTGCAGGAAATGGGGGTAAGGGGTGGCGGCGGCAAATGAATTCATATTTGTGAGCAAATGAGGACTGGAGACAGCAAGAAGAACTCTGAGACAAAGTCGAGGCCCAGGGGATGCTAGGCCTGCCAGGCTGGAGTGCTGGCTCCAACGGGGCACTCCATAGCCCTCAGCCCCCATGGCTGAAGCCTGGCCCTTCTCTGTTCCCTGGAAGCATGCCAGCTGTTCATGGGCGGCTGTCAGGGTTCCAGTGCTCCAGGAAGACCCATGGCTTGCCCTGCTCCCATCTGGGGTTTCTCTATTCCTGAGCAAGGCTGAGCCTCATGGGCCTGGAGCCAGGGCTCGTGCTGCTTTCTGTCTGGGCGGGACAGACACAAGTGGTCACCCATCTGAGAAGCCACCACCTCCCCACTTTCAGGGAGCTATGACCTCCACGGCTCTGTTTATGTACAAAGTAGGGCGAAGCAAGGCAGCCTGAGCTCTGCATGTGACAGTGAGTGGAGGAGGCTGCTTTCACTGTCCCCCAAACTCAGACCCTCTTGCCCAGGGCAAGGCATGGAGTGGGTGCTGGGAGTAGAGCGTCACAGCGCCTCTGGGTTCGAGGGCCTTTCCTGTATGCCCGGGAGGCAGAGCGTGCTTGAAGATGCTGCTGGAGCACTGACGGCTTGCGGGCCTGGTTCTGAGCACTTGGTTCCTATTACCTCATTTAATCCTCGTATCGACCCCATGGCGTATATACTCTCACTGTCCTTGCCACACACGCAAATAAACTGAGGCACAGAGGGGTTATGCCTGCGCTGATACAGCTTGAGAGACAAGGAGTCTGGCTCCAGACACTGTACACACAGCCACTCCACGGTGGTGTCTCTTGGTGGCACAGGATGGAGGCTTCCTAGGCAGTGAACGATCTTTCCCTCCTCTTGTACGTGTTCCTACCTGCAGTCATAAATTATAAGGGCATGTATCCTTGCAGACCCTGTGGTTGATCAGGAGACCTGGTCCCAGGAGCAGATTGCGGTGCACAGGGCATGAGTTTAAAGACAGGGGCTCTGATGCCGCGGGAGGGAGCAGTGTGGTGGTGGAGATAGAATCCAGGAAGACTTCACAGAGGAGCTGACATGTGTGCTGACTTGAAAGGTGAATGGGAATGTCAGGCAAGTAAGCCAGGGTGAGAGAACTGGTAGAGGAAGGGAATGCAGCTAAGGAGGTAGGCGGAACACCCCCAGAGGGGCCTCCCTGCTTGGCTAAGCAGTGAGGAGCCATCAAGAGGTTATACCATGGCTAGAGCCATGCCTCTGGGCTAGAAGGGTCAAAAAAGCCTAGAGGAGCCGTGGGGAGCCCACAGGAGTTCTGGGTGGTGGCCAGGAGAGATGCCTCAGCTACCAGAGCCCTGCAGCCCCTCAAGGTGGGGGTGGTCTTGGTTCTTTCTCTTCTGCACTGACTTCCTGTCACCCGCTGCTGGATTGTTCTGATGACCTCAGCAGTTTCCCGGAGAGCAGGATGTTCCCAGCTGGTTGTGCTTCTGAGATAAGGGGACAGACGAAAGCAGGAATAAACCTGAGGGCCCAGCTGGAGGTGCCTACAGACCTCTCCGGAAGCAGCAGTGTCGGGGCCTCACCCCCATCCCTGCAGGAGACGGGGGGCTACATGGCCCAGGGGCCGGCACCTGGTACGGGGTTGGGGGGCACAGAACCCAGTGCTTCAAGTCCAGAGACTGGGGCGCTGGTCTTTATGTCTCTGCTGGCTTGCTGTGTGACTAGGACAAATCACTTCACTTCTCTGGGCCTCCATGCATCTATGGGGAGCATGGAACAGAGGTGGGAAGGAACACCTGCGTTGCAGGTGTATGTGGGAAGGGAAGGTAAGGGATGTGACCTCACAGACTGCAGAGGACCACGCCAGTGCAAAGGCTTAGGGCAGACATGGCCTTTGCTCCTGGGGGCCATCGCCAGAATGCGCATACTGCTCCTGGAAATGGGCAGAATGGGCAGAAATGCTCCCTGGAAAAGCCTCAGCCAAAGGGGCAGAGAAGATCCCCGGGGCAGACCCCTGACTCTGATCCTAGCTTACCATTTTGTGGCTTTGGACACTGTGGTATTGGGCAGGTCGCTTCCCGCTCTGAGCCTCGGGTCCCCATGAGGACGAAGAGACTAGTAATCTCTGCCTGGCAAGTGTAGCCATAAAGGGGAAGGCGGGAGGAACATTCTAGGTGGGAGGTGGGCGAAGGGGCCAGCCCCTGACCTCATTTGACCCCTCTCCTTGCTCTCTCTTCCAGTGGGAACGCCTCTGGTTCCTGCTCCTCACCTTCACCTTCGGCCTCACACTCACCTGGCTGTACTTCTGGTGGGAGGCCCACAATGACTACGATGAATTCAACTGGTGAGTGGGAGCAGGGAGGACGGGGACACAGTGCCGGGGCTCTGGTTTGAACCTGTCTTCCAGGCTGGCCCTCAGAGCTCTCTGTGTGGTTTTGGGGACAGAGTCCTCTGGAAGGCACAAAGGTCTACAGGAGCGGAGACTGGCTGGGGAGAACACGGCTTCCTTCCTGGTGTGCTCTCATGGGAAACAAGAACAGAAGACTAGGGCAGGGCTCAGCCGGGGTCTGGGGCCTCTGGACCTCATCATAGATAAGAACACCAAGGCCCAGAAAAAGACCAGGACCTCAGCAGGGGAAATGATCCCAGATCCCAGGCATCTGAAATCCCTGTGCAGGACCTTGGGCTGGGCTTGCAGATGTTAGGGTTCCAGGATAGCTCAGCATCCTTTATGGGCATGAGCCTCAGGTCCAAGGGCAGGGCCTTCTGAGGCTCGTACCTGGATACACAAGGACACCTGCTTCTTCCTCACCCACTCCGTGGCCTGCCTTTGTCAGACAGTGGAAGGCACGAGAAGGGGAGCAGGTTCCCTGGGTTCTAGCGGGGGACTCCCCCACAGACAGGTGTGGAAACCAAGGTCCCAGGTCATGCAGGTACTGGGAGCAGAGATGGGGCTTGGAAGCCAGGCCTCCCCGCTCGCCATCCCCTACTGTCTTTACCTTCCTGCTGGATATTCAGCTCAAACTCAGTTCATTGTGACCGTAAGCACACTCAGCCGAGCCCCTCCTAAGCTCAGTTTCCTCTTCCGTAAGATGGATTAACTCCCCCCTCATCAGGTCTTTCTGAGGATGGAACGAGACCATGGCCATGGGAGGGCTCAGAGCTCCATGTCCCCCTCAGGGCCGCTTCCTGGGAGGCCGGAGCTCCAGCTGGAAGGCGGCCATGAGGTTAGAATGTGGGATTTCTAGGGCTCTGAGCTTCTGATGGGCTGTGGTGCTAAGATTCTGGGCTGATCCTATTAATGAGCCATTAATGGAGTCTGGGATCGACACTCCTCTGCACGGCATGAGGCTGTGGCCCTATCATTAATGAGTACAATAAAGGATGCACTGCTGTCCCCCTGCAGCCTGGCAAGATAAGCCTGGGTCCCAGAGGTGGCCTCTGGCCTTTATTAAATGCCATCGATCAATTATTCATCCTCCCAGGTATCCAGAGCATAGGCTGTGTAGTGCATGGCTGGAAACATTGCCTGCTGGCCCTCCACGGCAGACCCTGGACAGTTCTCCTGAACTGGAGTGTTGCTGCCTGGGAGATCATTGGGTCCACCCCCGTCGTGTATGGATGGGGGAAACTGAGGCCCCGAGAGGGCAGCACTCACCCACAGCTGCAAAGCCAGTTAGTGCCAAAACAGTTTGGGGATCATCTGAGGTGACTGAAGCTTAGAGAGGTTAAGTAAACTTTCCAGAGTCACATAGCAAGATGTGGGCAGATCTGGGACAGGGACTTGCGTCACACTGTCCACAGAAGTTCCTCACTCTGCCCAGGGAGTAAGTGCCCTGTTACTGGGCAGTTCAAGCAGAGGATGGATGTAAGGGGAGACTGTAGGGGGAAGGCCTGCGTGGGACTTAGGGAAGGCCTGGAGACCCACAGCTCCCTCACCTGTCACTGGTTTCTGAGTCAGTGCTGGGATCTAGGAGACCCTGGCCCGGCCCTCCGGGTCTCGACAGTATCTGGGGATCATTCACGCAGTGAGAGGATGTGAGCAAGAAGCAGGTGGTCAGGGTGGGATTTCGAGAGCCGGGGAGCAACCCTGTGGGCTGTTGCTCTCCAGGAGGGCTCCCTGCCAAAAGTGAGAGACAAGTGCCACCAAAACCTCTTTCAGGAGTCCTTCCCAAGGAGCAGGTCCTGCCCGTCTTTGGGCCTCGGTTTCTCCAGCTGTATGGTGAGAAGAGTACACTCAGTGGTGTAAGCAGTAGGTTTTCCTCTGGAATCTGAAGGTGAGGGTGGGGGGTGGTGCTGGGGAAGGCAGGTTCCCCCAGCGTGTCCTCCTGGTTTCCCCTCCCAGGCCCAAGATGGCAGCAAGCCAGAGACTGCCTGGTGCTGGCTCACGTTCTCTGATTACCCTCAGTGAATGGCACCTTCTCTGAGCCTCAGTGTCCCCAGCTCCAGGGAGGATGCGGGTGGTTCAGTCTTTCTGGAGAGCAACTAAGCAGCACCTACCAGAAGCTTTAAAAAGGACATTCCATTTGGCCCTATAATTCTATTTGTAGGAGCCTATCGTAAGAAAATAATAATACAGAAAGCTATGTGCAAAAAAAAAAAAATTGTGTGTGTGTGTTCATTTATAAGAGTGAATCATTGGAAACTGTTTTCATTAGTAGAAAGTTGGCTACATATGGCACATTAATTCAGCAGACCACACGGCTGTTTGAAAGTCACGCTTCCTCGGGGTTTTTACTGACATCAGTAAATTCTTGGGTGAATAATGAGAAGAGAATTGATTGAGTACATACCACGTGCCTTGCCTCACTTCGTGCTCAGGAAGCCTGGTGAAGGGCACTTTGTTCTCTCCATTCTATAGAAGAAGCAGCGAAGGCTCCAAGAAGTCAGGGACAATGATATCTGAGCAATCCTAGGACCCCCAAATTTTAATATTTTAGCATTGAAACTGAGATCAGTGTCACAGTCAGTGGCACCTTCACCTTGGGGAAGCCTGTCCCCAAGGAACCCTGCAGAGTCCTGCAGAGAGAGGCAGAGTGGGGATTGGAACCCTTGACCTCCCTCCAAAACCCAAGCTGAGCACATGTGCTAGGCATGACGTGGTCCTGGCTTTGCTGTTTTACAAATATATAAAATCAGGGGAAACCCACTGAAGAGAAGTCTACAGAGTCTTGGTGATGGTTCCTTCTGGGCAGTAGAATGATGGTGAATTGTTGTTTTCTTCTTTATGCCTCTGGGCCTGCCCGGGTGTTCACTGGCCTGACCGGTGAGCACAGAAACTGTGACGGTGTCACGGAGCGGTCCCAGCCTGGTCGCTGACCCTGGCCACGAGAGTGGATGGCCCGCTGGCCCCCCGGGAACCTCCTGGCTCCCTGGTGCAAGTCTGACCCCTCCCCCTCCCGGCAGGTACCTCTACAACCGCATGGGCTACTGGAGCGACTGGTCAGTGCCCATCCTCGTGACTACCGCTGCCGCCTTCACCTACATCGCAGGCCTCCTGGTATGTGCGACTGCTGGAAGGCAGGTGGGCCTGCTCCCAGGGGGAGGGTGAGCCACCCTGGTCGAAGGGGGGAGCTGGCTTTTCCCAGGGCCTTGTAGTCTCCTGCACAGCTGGGGCTTGGTCTCAAGGTGGGAGGTCATCTGGCTTTTGCCCCATCCTGGAATGTTTTCCTCCTGACCTAGTGAAAGCCATCTTGCTGCTAGGGCCCACTGCAGACTGTCTCTTCCAGAAGCTTCTGCTTTGGTTCCTGCTCCCAATTCTCTACTCCCTCAGACTCAGGTCAGTCCCCAGGCTGAACTAGAAGCTCTCGGGGGACTAGGCTCAAGTCTGCTTCAGAATCCTGGGGCCTTGAACTCCCAAAACATTCACTGGGCAGCCCAAGGGCAGCAGAGCCCAGTGAACTGTCAAGGGAGAAATTGTAGAGGAGGAGGAGCCTAGAATAATCTGGGAGGTGGCCAGGCTTGGGCTAAGCTGGGCACTCCCAAGCCTACAGGGAGGGTTGGTAGATGGTTCCGAGCCATGCTGAGAGTGGCAGCAGGCGGCAAGGTGTCTGGGAACTCATAGAAACCTTTGGGTCACAAATGGGCCCTGACTGTCCCTCTGGGGGCCCCCTCTTCAGGTCCTGGCACTATGTCACATCGCTGTGGGGCAGCAGATGAACCTCCATTGGCTGCACAAGGTAAGGGCTGCCTCTGTTGGGGGGCTGGGGGAAGGGAGACGGGGCTAACGGCTGCCGCAGAAGAGGAAGAGCTTGAACGCGCCATCCTTGCTCCTCGGACTTGACGCTTGTTCCAGTGGCTACCAGAGTTCCCACAGGCTGGCCTCGGTTAACTCATTTAACCCTCCCAGTAGCCCTATGATATAGGTAATGTTATCATCCCATCTTGCAGTTGGGAAAACTGAGGTACAGCAAGGTTAAGAAACTTGCCCAGGGTCTCCCACTTAATAAAATCCTAGCTCAGTAGCTGTGGACTGGCCAGCACAGGTCACAGCCCCAGCCCCCTCATTCTTCACTGAGCCCCCAGTGTAAAACTCGGCCCAGTGATGGGATTCCCCCCTCAGAGCCCTTCCCATCACTCCCCTTGCTCCCTCGGTGATCTCACTGCCCCAACTAGTACTAAGGCCCTGCAGGACGTGGGCCCCACTCACACCTCCCAGCTGCTGTGTGGGACAGTCACCTCAGCTTGCGCTGCAGCCCAGGCCTTCCCAGCACGACAGCCTCTTCTCTACTTACCTTTCTACCCTTACCTCCCTTTCTCTTTCCTTCCTTGGTTTGCCTCCCACACCTACAGGCTGCTTAAGATCCCCCAGCACTGGCAGGCCCCCCCACCACAGTCCTGAGCATCTGTGCTGTCCACTTTTGCCTGGCTTCCCCACCCCAACCCTCCCCAGTCTGGGAGCCCCCTGCAGGCCAGATCGAATTTGCCCATCTCTGTGGCCTCCAAGCCCCACTGAGGACTGGGCCCATACATATATTCCAAGCCTCAGCACTCAGGCCGTTCATTGTACGCCTGGTGCTAAAGGTACGTGGCTGAGGTCTGCCCTTCCTGGGACCTCAATGGACATGGGGTGTGGTAAAAGCCAAGCAAGAGAGCCTCTCCTTCCCCAGAGCACATGGGCCTTAGAGGGAGGCTGGACATTTCTTTTTTCCCAGAGCCTGGCTCAGAGTGAGCATGCCGTTTAGGACAGGGCAGAAATGTACAGATGTAACCATGAGTCCATGAGAGGGGTGCAGAGTGACCAGGGGAGGGGCTCACTTCCTGCTAAAAGAGGGACACGGAGCAAGAACAAGAGGACAGAGCCAGAAGCTGGACTGGGCGGAGGGGAAGGTGCCAGTGGCCATCCAAGGGACCTCCGAGGTCAGGTGCTGGGGAGTCAGACCTGGCAACTGAACTCTGAGAGGCCTGAAGATTGGCCGGCAGCCCTTCCCGCTTCCTCCCACCTGTCACTCTCTCCTAAGGTCTCCTCTGGGCTTCTGAAGTCCCCTCATGGGGGCACTTTCTTCTTCCGGCTGGGCAGCTGACACTTGAAAGAACTGCTCCAGCTGGCACGCCAGGGGGGGCCCAGCACCCACTGGGGTCACCTCCTCTAGCTCAAGTCTCCTTCTCAGCAGGCCAGGTCACACCTGCTTGATCCTGGTGGAGAGGCCCAGAGCCAGCCCTGGGGAGCAGATCAGTACAGGGAGTCATCCCCTGGGGCTGGAAGGATCAGATCCCTCGTGAGCACAACGGCCAGCTCCTGGGGTGCCAGTCCTGCCTTCCTCTCCCTTCAGCCCCCTCCCATGAGATCTCAGCGTGAGCAAGGTCTTTCTAGGCGGAACTGATCCGCAGCTGAACCTGCCACACCAGGAGGGAGGGGTCCCTGGGGGGCTGGGAGTATTTAAGCAGGGGTCAGAAATTCTCCTGTTCTGCTTCAAAGATTCTGTCCCTTGATTCTAAAATTCTAAAGAATCCTCTCCTTTTTTGTTTTAACCCATGTTTGACCATCTAATACACTGACATGGTTCAAAATTTAAAAGGAGCTAAAAAGTATGCAATGCAGATCTCCCTAGAGATACTTTAACCATGTGCAAATATACATGTATATTTCCTGTTGTCCTCCTCCTTTCCCCTAAGCAGCCTGCTCCCTCTCTTCTGCACCTTGGCCAAACCAGAGCTCCTTGCCCTCCGTGCACGGAGAGCATTGCCATCGGTGTCCACCCCTCGCGCCTGCCCACCAGCTCCTCCCTGGTTTCCCACACCCTCCTTTCCTCACCAGCATGGTGTGGCAGTGAGCTGGGCGGAGAGTTCTTGCGACGGAGCCTCGTTGCCCTGTGCCACAGATCCACGCCCCACAGTCGGGGCTTAGAAAACACCCTTGCCATAAAGCATTCACCAATTTCTTTCTTGGCTTTGGCCAACCCGACGGGTAAAGATGCCGCTCATTTGAACATGCATTTGGAGTCACTCACCTTTCCTTTTCCATGAACTGGCTCTTCCTCTCTTTTGTCCTTTTAGCGATGGGATTTGCTTTTTGCTTTTTGATTTGTAGGACTGCTCTATAGATCCAGAAAATTAGCCCTTTGGCTGATGAGCTGCAAATAATTCTTCTTGATTCATCTTTTCACTGGGCTTGTATTATTGCCATAAGAACTTTTTTATTCTTCAGTGTGTGAATATATCATCTGTTTGATGTCTTCTGGGTTTTGTGTCAGAGTTAGAAAAGTCTTTCCAGAAAAAATGTCTCTGCTGGTATCACTTGGTAACTGTAGGTTTTTACTTTTTTTTTTTTTTTTAACATTCACCTATTTTATCTTTCTGCAAGTTATTTAGGGATATAGTGTGATCTTTGTTCTTTTTTAGATGGCTTCCCAGGTCCTCTCTGTTCAGTAATCCATTCCTTCCTTCTAATTGGAGATGACACTTTTATATTAGACTAATTTTTTAAATGTATTTAGATCTGGGGGCGCCTGCGTGGCTCAGTCAGTAAAGCATCTGACTCTTGATCTCAGCTCAGGTCTTGATCTCAGGGTCATGAGTTCAGGGCCTGCGCTGGGTCCCACAATGGGCATAGAGCCTACTTAAAAAAAAAAAAAAAAAAGAAGAAAAGATCTTTCTGAGCTTTTTATTTACTTCCACTTATCTCTCTGGTCTCATGCCAATATCGTCTTGCTTTACCTCTGACAGTTTGATGTTTTAATCGTTAGCTTTATTTTGAGCCTCTTTGGTTCCCCAGGTCGTGAGTAGGGCTGGCTGCAGAGCAGAGAGCCCGGGATGGTGCAGAGAGGGAGACATTTGGGGCAGGCAGGGTACCACGAGCTGATCTGGGTGTCCACTTGGGGACCTTCCCCCTTCCTCCCCAGTCCTCCCAAGGCTTCTGTTTCCCAGAACCAGGAGCCAAGTCCAGGGGCCCAGAAGGTAAGAAGGTCGAAGTGTGCTTGGGGCTTTCCAGGAAACAGGAGGTCCTTTCCCTGAGATGCCCTGTTCCCACCCCACCCTCCACTCCAGAATTGGCTCTGAGGCCACTGCTGCGAGGGGCCTTGACCACAGCTCCCACCTTCCCAGGCTGTTTCCCGTCCCAACACTGCCATGCTCCCATCTGTGGCCTTGTCTGACTCCTCTACCACAGCGGCAGCAGCCCCCAGCCTAGGGGCTGCCTGGATGAGGTGTCTGCCAGTGACTCAAGCTGCAGCCCAGGGAAGAGGGTGGGGCACCGTGCAGCCACACTGCCAATTACCAAGGGAGCTGGGCCCAGCCTCCCCCACAACCCCTGACCAAGCCGGGGTCCCCAATTCTTCCTGGTGTCTGGCCCCCTCCCTGTCCAGCCGCTGTTCAGGAAGGCACGCTTGTGCTAGGTGCTGCTCCTCACGGTAGCCATGGCCTTGTGTCCTCGGTGCTCATTCTGTGTGTCTGACACTTTCCACACAGTATGTCTGTTATTCTCGGTAATAATCTTGCTCATTTGGTATAATGCCCGCTTTTCCAAATGCTACCACTAACACTTACCAAGCATTTACTCTCTGGGTGCCGACCACTGTGCTTACCGGCACGCCACCTGCTTTCTGTCCCTTGTCTCCACACCCCTTTCAGGTGGGCACTCTCTTCCCATTGCACAGCTCAGGAGATGTGCTTCGGGAGGCTAGCCTCTCCCCATAGGGCTGCAGAGTTGGGGTCTGACTGAAGGATGGGACGTGCAGGGCCCCGAACCCCGGCCTGCCATGGGGACCGCAGAGCCCAGCGTCCAGCTGCCCCTGAGAGGCCGCCCTGTGACCCTTCTGCAAGCCTGGCTTCCAGCCCCTTGCTGCGTGGACAGGCTGCCTGTGTCTCTGTCCCTTCCGATGTCCTCTCAAACCATGGTCCCACCTGTGCAGAAGACCGAAGACCGCTTTCACAGGAGCCGAGCGGGCCATCCCTGGGCCTTCTACATGAACTCTATCCCTTCCAGTCAGATGTGAGGAACAATGGTCATGTTGGGCGTCAGTGCTATTATTGTGAGACAGCGGGGTGGGGGGGACCCCACAGACACTGAACACCGCAGTAACGCCTCTAAGCATAATGGTTACCCACGACAGCAACGGCAAGACTCGGAGAGAATAACAATTTTAATTGTGCTAGGATTATGGGAAATCAGCGTTACTGCAAGCCTTTCCACTAGCAGTTAAATGTAGTAAGACTGTCAGAAGCAACCCTCCAGAGACCTTTGCGGTGCCAGGGCTGGCCTGGAGGGGGCGGCGGGGCGGGGGGCAGAGAGTCTGTGTGTGGAGCAGGGATTCTCAGGGATGGCGAGCACACCGCTCCGCCTCCCTCCACGGCAGTGTGACACCCCAGAAAGAGCAGGACCTCTGGGACAGGCAGGATGGGGTTTGCTTCTGGATCTGCCCCTCAGAACTACACAGCACGCCAGCCCTTGTGCTGAGCGGTTTCCCTGCGCGTAAAATCAGGGTGATCATGACCTCACCCGGGACATTAGAAGAATAAACACGAGGAAATCAGGACGTCCCTCCCCTGGCCCTGGGCACACAGGCCCTCTGTCTACCTGTGCCTCCCCTCTTCCTGTGTCCCCCAGGCCGGTACATTACAAGCCATAAAGCCCCCCGCCCATCTCAGCCTCATCACTGCTGCTTATGGGAACGTTCATCTCCAGGCTGATGGGTTGCAGTGCCAAACCTCCAAAGGAAAACTTAATCCCAGGAGGAATGAATCTTCCCTGCCTGGCAGGGGACGGAGATGGATCCACCGCTGTCTCTGCCCTCGCCATCCGGGCTCATTCAGTTGGTGGAGGGCTCTCAGAAGGCTGCTGCCTGGAGGAAGGTGCTGCAGGAAGGGGGAAAGTGGGAGACAGCAGCAGGGTGGGGCCTTGACTAGCGCATTATGGAGAGGGGGTTGGGGGATTTGGGAAAGAGGTGTGACTTGAGCTTTAAGGTGCCAGGCTTGGCAGTAAGGCAAAGGTGGCTGTGCGCAGTGTGTGTGTGGGGGGGCAGTAGTTAGAAACTGGGCTGCGCTTAGTTTTGGGGGAGCATCTGGCTTTGCATGAGATGGTCCATATTCATCTGTCCCTGGAGCTCTCTGTCCTGTGGAGGTCCTGTGTTGTCTTCCCTTGGAGTCACACTCCTTGCTTCCTCCAGGAGGCAGCTCAGAGGGCAGCCCTCCCCCGCCCCCCACCAGAAGCCAGAAGCTCAGAGCGGGGTGCTGGGAGCAAGCCTTGGCAGTGGGGCAGGTGGGGCTGCACCCCGCCTCACTCCAGCTTGCTCCAACCTCCGGGGCTCTCAGCTCCTGCAGGGGACCCAGCTCCTCCACCTCTGGCCCCATGGCCTGGACAAGTCATCCTTCACAACCCAAGAGCTGCTGGCTGGGCTAGGAGAGTGACCGGCTGAGCCCAGATGTCCCCACTGGCCGAATATATTCCCTCCTCACACCCTCAATGGGGCTGAACACTGGGCTGCGCCTCCGCCTCCCCCCAGCTTCCTCCCACCTTCTCTCCTCTCCAGCCTCCCTCCTTCCTGTTCACTTCAGGTCCACAGGCCTCCTCCTGCCTCTGTCCCTCACTGTCGCTTCTGGCTGGCGGGCTCTGGCTCTCTTACAGTCATGCCTCTTCTCCGCTTCCCCGCCTCCCTGCTTTGTGGGTCTCTCTTGCACTCTCCATTCCTCCTTGTGTCTCTCAGCCTCTCCTGCTTCCTCTCCTCCCCTCTCAGACACACTGGGGACACTCTGGCTATCCAGGCACACCTGTTCTGACCCTCTGTCTGGTGACTCTTCCCCTTCCAGATAGGGCTGGTGGTCATCCTGGTGTCCACAGTGGTAGCCATGTCAGCCGTGGCCCAGCTGTGGGAGGACGAATGGGAGGTGCTGCTCATCTCCCTGCAGGTGAGTGGCGGGGGGGGGGGGGGGGTTGCTGGGCAGCCGCTTCCTCAGAACCTTCCAAACAAGGCAGTGCCTTTTCATGGCTCACGTCTCTCCAAAGGCCCAGAGGGAGTAGGGAGCAGTCTGGGTCACAGAGTAAGTCAGAGCAGGAAGGAGGCTACAGCTCGGGGTTTCTGCACCCTGAGTGTCTTCCACTGAAAAATGGAGACAGAGTTGCCTGCCCCATGGATAGAGACAGGCTATCAGGATGCTGGTGACCAAAGGGAATGGACATGGCTGCAAGCCAATGGTCCCTCTTGCCCCTTCCCATACACAAGGGCACAGCACCATTCCTGCACGTCGGGGCCCTGGCCGCCGTCACCGCGCTCTCCTGGATCGTGGCGGGACAGTTCGCCCGGGCAGAACGGACCTGTAAGTATGACTACCTGCCCTCACCTAGGTGGCCTGGGGACAATGTGTCGCTCTTGACGTGGGGGGTTCTGGTTCAGAGTGGCCCACACATTCCACCGAAGACTGCAGCCCCAGTAGGCCCTGCAGTTCTCCTCTTCTGCATGCCTATGTGGGAGTTAGAAGTCAAGCTCACCTTCCCAATGGCAGCTGCCCATGATGCAGGGTCCCCACAGAGTGTCTGGGTCCTGACAGGTGGAGAGAAGAGAGGTCCAGCATCCCCCCTGCCTCCAACCTGCCCACAGTTTGTGGGTGGGCCTCCTGGGAGCCACACGGCTCACCAGACAGCCTCACTCACGGCCTGTGTCTGCAGCCTCCCAGATGGCCATTCTCTGTACCTTCTTCGCCATTGCGTTTGCCTTGTACCTGGCACCTCTCACCATCTCCTCTCCCTGCATCATGGAGAAAAAGGACCTGGGCCCCAAGCCTGCCCTCATCGGCCACCGCGGCGCCCCCATGGTGAGTGCCACCTGAGGATCCTAACAGAGTTAGGGGAGACAGGCCAAGACTAGCTCCTTGTAGGGAGGACCTTGTAGGGAAAGGGACAGAATAAGCATAGTGTAGCAACTGTAGTTGAGGGTATGTGGGAGAACTGGTGGAAAAGCTGGGGAGCTTAGATGGGACTGAATCCTGAAGCATCCTGAAAGTATCTTGCTAAAAATATTTAACTTTTATCCTGAGTGCCCTGGGGAGACACGGGAAGGCTTCAGGCCAGGCTAGACCCGGCCAGGTTGTGGGCTGGGAAGGCCCAGGAGAGAGAGTGCTGGGTGTGGGGAGAACAGCAGGACCCTGGGGAACACCTTCCAGGCTGTGGGGGGCGGAGGGGATGGGAGCAGCTCAGAGCCCATTGCTAATCGGAATGTAGCTGAACAGGGTTGAACTGGAGAGAGGAAGTCAAAGTCTGAGCCCTGTGACCCCACAGTAGACCTTCCACTTGAGAGGACGGGTTCAGAGGCGTGCTTCCCTGGCCTTTTGGCAGCTGTGGGAGCCTGGATCAGTCCCTATCTGCTCCGTGCCCATTTCCTCATCTTGTGTCCTGGGCTAATGGAGAGTGTCTAGGCCATGTGAAGTAGGACTTAGCACACATGAAGGGCCCGGCTATGAGCCGGGTGCACAGACAGTAAGAGGGAGACATTCCTGCTTTCTGGGGTAGGCCCTCTCCCTTCTCTGGACCAGGGGTTCCTTCAAGAACACCCTGAACTTGTGGTTCTTAACAGAAGCAGTACCACTTCCCACCCCCAGGGAGCGCTCGAGGACGTCGTGAGAGCTTTTTCTGGGCTTTTGCAGTGATGCAGAGTTCCATGAGGTTACTGAATTTCAGGGTAGTCAAGGTGGCCTCACAAAGTAACTTTTAAAAGGAGGTGTTGAGTCCAATAGGGCTGTGAATCACCCTTCGGTTCTTCCTCACTACCTGTGGTGAGTGTTACTGTGCCCATTTTCTAGGTAAGATTCAGACACCTGTGCCCAAACTGGACCCTGGAGTCCTCCCAACATATATCCCTTGCTGGTCCCAGCACCTGGAGGAAACTAGCTGGAAAGGCCATGGCTGGGAGTCAGAGGGATCTGGGGTTGGGTCCAGTTTTGCCCCATGTTGCCTGGGTGTCTCACCAGTCCCCTCTGAGACTTCTGCTACAAAGGATCATGAGCAGAGCTTAAAAGCACAGCCCCCTCAGGTGGGTGGAGCCCAAGATTACAGCCCCTCCTCCATCCAGGACCCAGATCACCCACCCACCTACTCTAGAGGTCCGGGGACAAGCTCATGCCCTGAAGGGGTGGTGTTCAGCCAAAGGGAAGGAGCCGGGTGGCCCCAGCATGGATTTTTTTTTTTAATAGGAAAAATTTCTATTATTTATAGAAGTTGCAAGAATGGTATAAGGAATCCTAGAAAGAAGAATAGTATAATGACTCCAAGACCACATTCAACACTTACCAGTTCTCTTGCCACTCTCGTTTTCTCTATCTCCCTTTTTTCTTTTCTGCAATATTTTTAAGATTTTTAAAAAGATTTATTTTAGGGAACACAAGTAGGAGGGACAGAGGGAGAGGGAGAGACAATCCCAAGCAGATGCCACATTGAGCACTGACGAGATGCAGGGCTCGATCCCACGACCCCAAGATCACCACACGGGCTGAAACCAAGAGTTGGATACTCAACTGACTGCACCACCCAGGGCACCCCTATTTTAAGATTTTTTTTTTTTAACTATATTTATTTAAGCAATCTCTAAACCCAGTGCTGGTTTTGAACTCGTGACCCTGAGCTGCATGCTCAGGACACCTGGGTGGCTCAGTCAGTTGAGCATGGGATTCTTGGTTTTGGGTCAGGTCATGATCTCATGGGTTGTGGGATCAAGCCCTATGCTCTTCCCTCGGCACGGAGTCGGCTTGGGATTCTCTCCCTCTTCCTCTCCCTCTGCTCCTCCCGCCCCACACCCCGTGTTCTCGCTCCATCTCTCAAAAATAAATGAATAAAATCTTTTCAAAAAGAAAGCTTCATGCTCCACAGACCGAGCCAGCCAGGCACCCCTCTGCTGTAATATTTTAAAGCAAATCTCAGCTATCCAGACATCATATTGTTTTGCCTATACATACTTCAGGATGGATCTCTAATCATAAGGACTTTTTTTGTTGTTGTTTTAATATAGTGACAACTACAATGCTGCTGTTACACCCAACCAAATTAATAGTAATTCTTTAATATTATCTTATACTGCACCCATGTTTAGCTTTCCTTTGTTGACTCAAAAGCTCCTTTTTACAGCAGAGTTGTTAACAATCAGGATCCAAACGGGGTCCACATGGCGCATCTGGCTGACACGTCTTCCCATTATCTTCTAGTATATGGTGACCCTCCCCCCATTTATATGTCAAAGAAACGGAGTCATTTCTCCTGTAGTACTTCCCACGTTGTGCCTCTGGCTGATCGCGTCCTCAAGGCGGCTGCAGAATGGCTGGCACACGTGTCTGACACGGCCCCATGTGTCACTGTGCCTGCATGTGTGTTGCGGTCTACACCCGAGTGTGTCACTGCTTCTGGACCCACGCATCTGGGTGTGACAAGCCGGAGTGCACACTGCTGTCTCCGAGAGGGCATCTGTGTGCCCTTGGGTGTATGGACCCGTTTGTGACAGCCACCCCCACATACACATTCCTGACAGCAGAATTCCAGCTGGGCTTAGGCCTGAGGCATGTAGGGATGAAGATTCACCCTGAAAGATTCACACAGGTGTGCTCCTTGGAGCCCTTTTGGGGTCCCCAGGCTGGCCAGGGAGGGCTAAGTTTCCACAGCTCTTTCTCCAGGGGCCAACACCTACCCCAGGGAGACCTGAGTTTACAAAGCCTCTGCCCTTCCCCCTCACTGCCTCTGCTCCCTGGGGTTATTTGTTGCCCCTGCTGTGCTCCTTTGTGTCTCCCCACAGTCTACCTTCTGCAGCTGCAGCCCACAGGGGAGCGCTGGCACCCCTCACAGGGTCACCTGTGAGAGGCCTGGCCGCAGGGCATTTAGAGGCGGGAGGGGCAGGAACTCCACCAAGTCCATGCCTGTCTCTGAAGCCTCGGAGGACCTGTGCCGCCTCCGGGTGGGGCCTCACACAGCCCACCTGACTGGGAGAAGGGAGCCCTGTCCTCCAGAGCTGCTCTGCCCCAAGGAAAGAGGAAGAAAGGAGCTCAGTTAGAGAGACTGCTGCTATCTCTCTTCTCTCCTATGAGCTCGATAACAGCCTGTTTTACAGCTAGAGAAGCCAAGGTGCAGAGGTGAGGTGAGAGGGAAGTGGAATCATTCCTTCTCAGCCCCACAGCCCTTGCTGTACCAGGCTGCCTCCCAGAGGAAGGGGATGTGTTACATGTGGGAGTAGCATGGCCAGAGGGAGAGAAGAAGGACACAAGTGTGTCTTGGTGGGAATGAGACCGGCCCATCCCTTCACTGCCAGACCTCCCTTCCCCTTCCAGCCTGCACTGCTCTGGCTCCTAGTCCAATCCTTGGTATGGTCGTGACCCCCAATGGTGACACAGGGTATGACAGGGTCTTCAGACCAAACAGACTAGGGAGGGAGACTTGGAACTCTGAATCCCAACTTGAAGGACAAGTGAATTCAGAGAACACTGAATATCACCCCCAAGGGGAAAACGGGGAAACTGAGGTCCCTAGGAGAAAGAGTTGCACCAATGGTCACAAAGCTATGGCAGGGCCAGGGCTAGAACCAGAATCTTCTGATGTATATGCTACAGGATTAATAGCAGTCCCTTATTAAGCACTTACTGCATATCAGGCAACATGTTCGGGGCTTATAATCCATGTAACCATCTAGGAGATGGTCTTGTCATGTCTGTACAGATGCAAAAACTGGGCACCCCGTGGAAACTGCCATCCTGAGTACCCCCTCCTCTCCCTCTGGGATCTCCACCCAGACCCCGGGAGTAACCAGGAGGAAACATGGCTTGCAGCTCCAGCCCAAGACTGCCACAAGGCAGAGAGCTGTGTAAGAACCTTCACACCCCCACATTCATGTACATCAACACTAACCACCCCTGCCTCCTCCCCCACCAACAAAACCTGTGAGGCAGGCACGATTTAACAGATGAGGAAATGGAGCCTCAGAGAAGCTGCATGGGTACCCAGGGTCCCGCAGCTACTGCCTGGATGAGCGGGAACTAGAAGCAGGCTTACTCCAGCCTCCCGACACAGAAAGTTCTGCATCAGCTGGGAAGGTGTGTATCAGCTAAATTTTGGCTCTCCTCTCCTGCCCAGCTGGCCCCAGAGCACACGCTGATGTCCTTCCGGAAAGCCCTGGAGCAGAAGCTGTATGGGTTACAGGCTGACGTCACCATCAGGTAGGTGTGGCTGTTGGGAGGACCACAGTCCCCCATCATCCCTGCTGCATCCACATTTGGGACTCTGCTGAACCTCAGGTCCCAGAGCTTCAGAGATGGGAGGGCAGAGGCTTGGATAAGCCACTGAGGGCCCACACCCTGTTTGTGCCAAATGCCAGGATACAAAATAGGGAGACAGACAGGTGCTCATGGTTTAAGCAGAGGTAGGGGAGTGGGATCTAGAGTCCTGCCACAGATGCAGTCGAAGGAGAGACCAGCTGTATGTGGCTCAGCAAGACGGAGCTTGAACACGGGTAAGGGAGATAAGCACACGCAGAGCAAGACAGTCACTGTCATGTTCAAAGACCACATAAAATGATTTCTATGTTCTCAACATGGAGATTGTAAAAGCACCTATTAGTACAAAGGTTGAGAAGAATTCATAGCCATCTCACAACAGAGCTCTGAGAAGGGGAAAGTAGAGGCTACCACGTACAGTTTACACAGGTGGTGCAGTGAGTGAGGGCACCACACGTGTGAGGCTCCGAGTGTAGACACCACAGAACTGTGTGTTCATCACTTTCCAGCAGGTGGTGGTAAGATGCCCTGAGGAAGGGGGCCATGCATACCTCTTCTAAGATACCACATGGGCTGCTGGCAGCCCCAGTGGGATAGAGGAGGGCAGTAGGGGGGAATGTATCCAGGGGGCCTGCATTTGTCCTGTCCTATTATGGCATCACATGGATTGGGTTCTCATCAAGTTCTACCACTTCCCGGGCTAGTGGGCTTAAGCTAGATAATTGCCTTTCCCAGCCTCTGTTTCCCCATTATCAAATGAGGTAGCACCTTTCTGCTACCCCACTCTAACCCTCACAGAAAGCCAGAGGGACTCACCCCATCCACCCTGTGCACAGAGGTAGCCTGAGGCCCAGAAAGTAGCAAAGCCTGCTTGGGGGCTGGTGTATGTGGGTGGGAAGGAGTGTGTGGGGGTTGGGGAGGGATCACTGGCAGGCAGGTGAGGGGCCTGAGTGGACAGTGACGTGGGGATCCCACCTTCCCGCAGCCTGGATGGCGTGCCCTTCCTCATGCACGACAACACCCTACGTCGAACCACCAACGTGGAGCAGGAGTTCCCGGAGCTTGCCCACAGGCCCGCCTCCATGCTCAACTGGACCATCCTGCAGAGGCTCAACGCTGGCCAGTGGTTCCTGAAGGTGTGGCTCTACCTGTCCCAGCCCTAGGCATGGACCACACAGGCGGGACCCCACGGAATGAGGGGGCCGGAGGCGGCCAGCAGCTCAGAGGACCACTAGTCCCCTAGCAGCAGGGACTCGAAGCCAGGCCAGTTAGAGGCCTGCTTGAGCTCCCGCCACTGGAGCCCGGGTGCCATGTGGCGTGGTTGTCACTGCTTGTTCTGGTTCTATCTTCCCCGTCAGAAAAAGTTGACAGCAATGATGAGAGTTAACAGGTAAAAACTGTGACTTTGTCCAACTCCAGAGGGAGACTGGTTCCTATGAAATGCTACTAAAGGAGAATGTGCAGGCGTCTGGGAGAAGTCCCAAGCAAATGACTTCCAGAAAACCGGGGTGGCGTGGATAAGCTAGGGTTGGGGTCTCCTAGACCCCCCACAGGGCCCCAGCTAGCAGGTCGCCTGACCCTGTGCCCCAGCAGCCTCTCAGTGCTGGGGGTGCTGGTGATGTAGCCGTGTGTACCCCTGTCTCTGCCAGACGGACCCCTTCTGGACGGCCAGCTCCCTCTCGCCCTCCGACCACAGGGAGGCACAGAACCAGTCCATCTGCAGCTTGGCGGAGCTCCTGGAGCTGGCCAAGGGCAACGCCACTCTGCTGCTCAACCTGCAAGAACCGCCTCGCGAGCACCCCTACCGCAACAGTTTCCTCAATGCCACGCTGGATGCCCTGCTGCGCTCTGGCTTCCCCCAGCACCAGGTGAGGCCCCCGCCTCCGCTCTGCCCGCCCGGACCTCCACTTCCGCCGAGGCAAGAAGGGGGAGCACACCCCTTGCTGTCCTGACAGGTCAGCCCAGGGCCCAGAGGGAAAAAAGGAAGGCCTTCAGAGTGGACAGCGGGCAGGAGCAGGCTCTCTGGAACACTGCTATTTCCGCATCCTTGCGGCCTCACACTCGGAGATCAGAGAAATCAGAAACCACTTCATGGTAGCACACGGGACTGGTGGCAAGCTGCAGAGTGACATGGATTATCAGTCTTGTGACAGGGGTCCGGAGGGGAGAGCAGTTTCACAGGCTCGGCCGGACCACGTTGTCCCCTGTAGATGCTTATTACACGTGAGCCTCACCCGTGGGGCGCGTCCCATCGCCTTGAACCCTCCCAAGGGCTTTAGGAGGGGTAGACGCTGTAACCCCAAGGGAGGCCGCCTACTCCCGCCTGCAGGTTATGTGGCTGCCCAACTGGCAGAGGCCCTTCGTGCGCAAGGTGGCTCCTGGTTTCCAGCAGACATCAGGCTCCAAGGAGGCGGCCGCCAGCCTGTGGAGAGGCCACATCCAGAGGCTGAACCTGCGCTACACTCAGGTGTCCCGCCAGGAGCTCAGGTGCCCACCCCAGCTCACGCAGTAGGGGTGGGGGTCAGATGCGCTGGGGCTAGTGGTTCAGAGAGTAGAGCTCAAGAGTATCAGGTCTGGGTGTTGTCTGAGCTTGGTCCTCTGGGGATGGAGACTCCTTTCTCGGGGACAGCTATGAGGACAGTGGGTTCATAAAGGGGTCCCATGCTAGGCCTGGAAGCCCCCCTTGGAGGGCTGACCGCCTCTGTCTGCCTGCCCCACAGGGACTACGCGTCCTGGAACCTGAGTGTGAACCTCTACACGGTCAATGCGCCCTGGCTCTTCTCCCTGCTGTGGTGCGCGGGGGTCCCCTCCGTCACGTCCGACAACTCCCACACCCTGTCCCAGGTGCCTTCCCCACTCTGGATCATGGTAAGTTGGGGAATAGTGGGGGGGTCAGCGGGTCCCTTGCGGTGTGTCAAGAGAGCCTGGGGCATGAGGTGGGGGCAGGCTCCACGCTTGGGGCTCTCTGGTGAGGTCTCAAGGGGGGAGCAGCATGGGAGGAGGATTTTCACAACCTCTGGGGTCTGCACTGAGGCTTTAGGGGGTGGGAAGAACCTGGGCTCAGCCCATGGGGAGAACAACATCATTCAACGGCCCTAGAGAAGTAAATTACTACTTGGGGCTTGGGTTTTGGAGATTGATTATGTTGTGTTTTAAAGGAAGGGAAGGCATTAGAAAAAGAGTAACAACAGAACAAGGATAGGGAACATGAAATGCTGTTCTGAGAGTACAGCAAATAAAACCAATTTTTATCTGGCTGAGCAAAGCTCTCCTGACAGGCCTGAGCTCCAGTCCCAGCTCTGCTACTGGGGGCTCGGGGCACCCCTGACCTCCCCGCTGTGCTCCACTGCCACCTCCCCGAGGACGGGATAGCCAATCCAAGGGTCTCGTTATGGCTGAGACAATGTCAGGCTTACTGAACCAAATCTAGGTTATGGACGATGTGTCCATCCACCTGCCCACTGTCCTTACAAACCTCCAAGGGCTCTGCTCAGGACAAGGTGAAGAGACTTACTAGCAGCAGCCGCAGCAATGAGGACACTCGCATTTTCAGGTCACAGGAGCTGACCAACAGCAAGGACTCCAGGCGCAGCCCCGTCCCTCCTCCAGTTTACCTGAGCTCGAGGGCCCGGGAGGCCTGGCCGCACTGGAGGCTTCGCCCACCCTGGCCCCCGGAGGGGGAGCCCCTGCACTCCACACCCTACGGTGACACACGTACTCTGACACCCGCACAGATGCCATACGCCTCTCCACACACACCCCTGCATACCGGCTCATTTACACCTCCACATTTAGCTGTCTGCCTTCCATTTACTCCCCTTCCACTCGGAGCCCCCTTAAACACACAAACCCTCCAAGCTTATTAACACATGCCCCCTTCACCCTGACCACTGTGTCTCTTATGCTACACACACACAGGCCCACAGTGCTCAGAGCCCACACCTACAAAATACTATCTCAAGGCCTCAAGCCCCAAAGCCCCCTCTAGATCCTCCGTAGCCCTTCCCTGATGGTGACATGGGGTCGTCCTCCCCACGGACCCTCAGTCTGGAGGTCTGGTATAAACCAGCCAGGACTGAAAACTGGCCACGGGCCATCTGTCCACAGCCCCCCGATGAGTACTGTCTCATGTGGGTAACCGCGGACCTGATCTCCTTCACGCTCATCATCGGCATCTTCGTGCTTCAGAAGTGAGTGGGCTCTGACCCCCTTGCGTGCCCCACAGACCCAGCCCCTGCCCCAGCGAGGTAACCCTCCTCCTGAGCCCGCAGCCAGGAGAAGCCCTGCCTGGGCAGCCTGTTCAGGGTAGGACTGCCCAGCGGGGCCCCCCAGCCCCTTCTCCTCAGCCAGCATGGGTGGCTTCTGGAATGAGCACCCAGCTGGGAGCCCAGAGCCAGCCTCTGGCCACGACCTGCTCTGTGGACTCTGGCGGGTTGGGGTCCTCTCCGGCTGTGTCCTCCCCTGTTCCCCAGGGTCTGGGCTGTCACCAACACTCAGCACTCAGGTGTGCCATGCTGGAGACCTCCTGCCTGTCAGGGTGGCAGCAGGACGGCGGTGGGCGGTGCTGTCGGGAAGTGGGGTTAGTCCGGGGGAGGGCTTAGGGCCAGGCAGGGGCCCGATCCAGCCACAAACAACTGGCTGTTTTATTCCTGACTGACGTTCTTTCTCTGTCACTCACCGCTCTGATCCGGCGCATGTCCCTCCTCTCTCTCCCCACTCCCCTCTCTGCTGCACTCTGGCCTCTCACAGCTATCACTTGATCAGGTAATTCTGGTTGTGGTCTTCCTCTCCTGCTCCTCTTTCTCCCTCCTCCTCACCATCCCCTTCTCCAGTTCCATCCAAAAACCTGCTGTGCACCAAGCCTATGCCTGGGTCAGGGTCCCTGGTGGGCCACCCTCCCAGAATCCTCCCCTGGTAGCCTGATGCCTCCTGCTGTCCCCTGCACTCCTCTCCCCATCTCACCATGTGTGCGCAGCCTCCCTCTGGTCCCCCTTGCTGTTTCTGTGGATGGAAGGAAGCCAGTGCTTCTTAGCAGGTGGCTGACCTGGCCTCTCTCAGCACCAAAGCAGCTCCCTCCGGGGAGGGACTGTGCCTGGCCACCCCTCCCAAGGCTGGCACTTGCAGGGGCCTTCACTACTGCCCTGAGCAAACCCTACCAAGTTCTGTCTCTCCCTTCCCATCTCTCGGTGTCTCCCCTTGGGCTTTGCCTCTTGAATCGTTGCTTATCTTTCTGTGTGTCTCTAATCTCTCTCACTCCCCATTTCTGCCTCCTACCCGACTCCTCCCGCCTTATACACACAGCCTCCCTGCTTTCCCCTAGGGGAACCCCACAGTGGTTGAGCTTCCTGTCCTAGATGTACCTGGCTGCAGAGACCCTGGCATGACTCCTTCCTCCTGGGCTTACTATGAATTTCCAACATGAGTCCTAGGTCTGGGGATCCAAGCCCCCACCTTGGTCCAAAGCCTTGGCCCTCCTGGTGACGGTTTCCCAAACTGCTCCCTGGCTGAGGGACGTTGCCCAGCGAAGGGACACGTACTGGTCCTTCCTTCATCCTCTCCATCAGCAGATGCCCCCATGTGCTGCTGCTGTGCTGGGCCTCTAGCAAGGAGCCAGGCCTTCACTGTCGGAGCCCCAGGGTGCTAGGGGGCAGCCGAGGTGGCCCAAATCCTGAGATGGACAGGCCAGGCCCGCTCAGTGTCCAGCCAGGGCCATGACACGGTCTTCATGGGGGTCAGGAGAGGACTGACAGAGGAGGGGACCCTGAGGGAGGCCATTTGCTGCAGGCCCCCTTCCTCCACTCATACACTCAACAGATACCCTGGGCACCTGTCACACAGCAGTACTAAGGTTGGCACCAGGGACACTGTGACAAATGAGAGACCCAGTCACTGCCCTCAAGGACATGTAGGGCAGCCAGCCCAGCCAGCCCACAGGCTGCCTTCCCCTCTGCTTCTTGCTTTCCCCTGTCTGCTCTTTTAATTCACCCACCTGCCTGTCCATCTGTCTGTCCATTTCTGCTGTGCTGACCCCATCTGGAAACACCTGATTTCTCATGGAATCTGGGCTCCCCCTCCCACCCCAGCAGGACTCAGTGCCTGGGGGGTTGGGTTCTTGTTTCCAAGCTGACCCCTGCTTCTCTTGGTGGGAGTGGGGGTGGGGGTCCAGTGAATCTTTCGGTCTAGTCCGCAGGAAAAGTCTTAAGTTTGGACACCAGGGATTTGGGGCTGGTTGAGAGGAACTGCAGGGCAAGACCTGTTGAGGCAATACCTGCCCTGGGCTGGGCACAGGACCCCACGTCCCCGGCTCGGCCTGGCCCCTGCATGCCCCGCACAGCCCCATCTCTTGCCCACCAGCCTCCTTTTATTCCCGCCTCCCCACGAGGGAAGAGGCCCCTCCTCCAGGGCTGCTGGAGCAAAGCAGCCAATGGCCCAGACACCCTTGCCTCTGAACCTGTGAAGACAAGGCCCCCACAGCCTCCCCTCCCTCCCTCACTTCCCCTCTGGCTTCACTAGCCTGGCCCTAATGAGGGAGCTGGAGGATACAGCATCTGGGACTCCCTGAGATTGGTGTGTACCCCACAGATGGGTGTCAGAGTCATGCCTGCTAAGCTCTCCCCCAATTTGTCCCATTCAGGGTCTGTGTGCAAATGTGGGCACCTGACACACAACTCCCCAGCCCCAAACAAACCATCTTTGGGGCAAGGGGACCTGATCTTGGGTTCCGGGGACAAGGGGGAGGCTGGAGAGCCCTGGCTGAGAGTCAGTAGACTCCAATTCAAGCCCTATAGCTCTCCCCTCATCTGGGCCTCTGTTTCCCCATCTGTAGTCAGACAAGAGTCTTGCTGGTCTCTCAGGCCAAATCCAGATAGGCTCTGGGACTGGACAGGACCCTGCTCCAGGGAAGGGTGGGAAAGGACCTGTGCCCGTGGGCCATCTCTGCAGGTGGCGCCTGGGAGGCATACGGAGCTACAACCCTGAGCAGATCATGCTGAGTGCTGCAGTGCATCGGACCAGCCGGGACGTCAGCATCATGAAGGAGAAGCTCATCTTCTCAGGTAGGCAGCCCTGCAAGTTGAGGCAGGCCGTGGGCTGGGTTACCTCCAGCCCCCAACGTGCACACACACCTGCACGTGACACATATAGGCAGGAACACAGCATGGACACACATCTGCGCCCCTGGCTTCACAGACACAGAGAGAAGCGCACACCCCTCCTCGTGGTCATCAGCTCCAGACCCTGTGGCTGTCAGCCCCACGGGTGGTGGGCAGGGTGACATGCAGTGGGGGTGGGGGGGGGCTGCTTTTATGGCTCACCTCCCTCCGCTGGTTTATACACCGTAAATATTGATTTTTCACTCTTGCTGGCTGCCAGTCCCCATTGACATTCCAGTCTGATGGAAGAGGGAGCTGTATAAATAAATACATAGAAAACTGTGTGCCACTAGAGCTCTAACAGGCATGCTGAGCCAGAGTGGGGTACAGAAGAGAGTGGTCAGAGCTCTCTGGGGCAGTGAGGGTCTCGGGGCCCACTTTGCAGGGTGACCTAGCTGGAATAGGAAGGATGCACAGGAGGAGCCTGGGTGGTGGGTTGGAGGTGAAGGATGACTGAGCAGAGGAAAGGAAGGGTACTTGGGCAGGAACAGCCAATGTTCAGAGGTAGTGAGGGGCTATGGCTTACTGGGGTACCAAGAACTATCCACCATTCCATATGGCATGAGGGGTGGCCTCATGCTCGCTTACCCCAGCATGGCACTAGGGAAGCACTCGGGCCTCACCCTGAAAGCAGAGTGGGGTCATGGGCATGTCTGTCCTTGATACAGTAGGGCCGTAACAAGCACCACAAGCTGGGTGGCTTAACCAACAGAAATTTATTGTCTCCGTTCTGGAGGCTGGAAGTCCAAAATCAAGGTGTTGGCAGGGTCGCTTAATTCTGAGGGCCATGGGAGAAGGATCTGGTCCTTCTCTCCTTGACTTGTGGGTGGTCCTCTTTGTGTTGACATGGTGTTCTCCCAGTATGCATCTATGTGTCCAAATCTCCCCTCTTTATAAGGACACCAGGCAGACTGGACTGGGGCCCACCTTAATGGCTTCATCTTAACCAATTACCATCTGCAACAACCTTATTCTCAAAGTCACATTCTGGCAGTACTGGGGGTTAGGACTTCAACCTATGATTTTGGGAGAGAACACAATTCCACCTATAACAAGTATGGATGGTGGACAAGAGGGGGAAGCTGGAGGCAAAGAAACCAGTAACTCGGGAGAGACTGAATGTGGGAACAGAGAGGAGAGGAGAGATTTGAGGAATATTTAGAAGCCAGATGGGCTGGGGTTCAAATCCCAGCTCTGTCCCCAACTAGACAGGTGAACGAGAGCATGTTGGCGTCAGACTCTGTAAAAGGGACTGGCACTCCTTCACAGCGTGCTTGACAGTTAGAACCACGCCTGGCCCAGAGGTATGCTCGGTAACCACTGTCTGAATGAATGACACCCCAGTGGGGGTGACTGATTTGGGGGCTGGTTCCCAGGACTGTGTGAACATCCACTCATTCATTCACCCCTTTATTTATTCATTCCTTCAACAGATAAACTCGTCACTGTGTTAGGTGCCTAGGAGTCCTAGATTCTTGCCTATGGGGCACTTGTATTCTCCTGCCTTGGCTCAAAAGGAGCTTCCCTGAGCACTAAGGCTGGGTTGGAGTGCCTCTCCTCGTGGCCTGCAGCCCTCTAGCCACACTGGGGAGCTCCTGGGACGAGGGGCCAAAGGCACCCACCTGAGGTGCCCAGGCTCCTATAGCCTGGCCCAGATTAGTCAGAAGGGGCAGGGAGAAAGAACAGAAAAAACAGGCCAGCCCCTAGACCTGGCAGGTTCTGCACCTCCAGGCCCCCCATCCTTCAGTGCCAAAGGCCATTCATTGAGCACCTTCTGAGGGCAGACTCAGGCCAGCCACAGTCCTCCCCCACCCTGCCCACTCCAGGCTGAAAAGTCCTTTACAGAGACCCTCAGCCTCCCCTCCCCTCAGGGTGGGCTCAGCTCTACTCAGCAGACCTTTTCTGAGCCTCTGTTCTATGCCCAGTGCTGTACTAGACAGCAAGACACAGATGCCCAGACCTCCCCCCTGTACTGCATGTACTCCGGCTAGTGGGGTCACAGGTAGGGACCATAGAGGAGGTGATGGGGCAGGGGGAAAGAGGAGCTGGGGGGGCCATGAGGAGGCTCCATTCCAGCTTGAGGGGGCTCAGGGAAGGCTTTTAGGAGGTGGTAGTAACAGAGATGAGAACAACTGAACCAGATTTTAAGAAAAGGAGGTATTGACAGGGAGGTCACTCTCAGGAGAGGGGCCAATGTGTACAAAGGCCCTGAGTAGAATAAACTCACGGGCACAAAGGTCAGGAGGGGACAGATGGTTTTCTGGGGCTGGAAGGCGGAACAGCAGAGGAGAGGAGACTGAGTGTCTGCAGAGTCCAAGGATGGCCCTGAAAGCCAACTCAGCAGCAGACCCAAGCCCAGTGATCTCATCAGCCTCCAAGTGCCTGACCAGGGCTTGCTGAGGGGTACTCTTCCCACTGCATCTGCCAGCCATCCTCATTGACCCCACTCTCCCCACTCCCGTTCTGCCTCCCTCTGACCCCACAGAGATCAGCGACGGCATGGAGGTCTCCGATGAGCTCTCTGGGTGCTCAGACCACAGTTACGACACATACACCACCAGTGCTTCCACCCCTGCGGATCACCGAAGGAGTGGCAGCCACACCAAGACTCTCACGGACCGGAGTGGGCGTTAGCTGAAACCCTGTCTGTCCCAGCCTGAACCTAACGTGGAGATCAGGGAACCCATAAGAGCTGGCAGAAGCATGTCTGCATGGGGAGTGCCCTGGGAGCTGGCTCCACCGCCTCCTCATTGGCTCCAGCCCTCTGTCAGCCATGGCCTCCCCTGGGGGGGGCTCCCCTCTCTCCTGAGGCCCACTTGGGTCAGGACTCCAACCTCGCAGATGCCCCTGCAGGCCTGGGGCTCCTTCTGGAAAGTTTGGGGCCTGGGGCCTGGCCCTCCCCTGGAGGCCTTCCCTTATATCCTGATCTGGAAGATTGCTGAGTCACTGGGCTATGCCCTGGCCCCTGTGGCAGCTGAGAATGTGGATGTCCACATGTCTATGCTCAGAGGCAACTGACTTCTGCATGTCTCCTGCCTTGAGGGCCTGGGCTAGGCCTCTGTCCCCAGCAGCTCTGTTCTTCATGTCAGTCTCAAAAGCACAAGGATTTTCAGCCCAGGAGGAAAGCCTGCTGCAGTGGTGGAGAAACTCCTCCCCAACCGGCCTCATACCACCACTGGCCCTGCCCTGGGAGAAGGACCGAGCCAAGTCCCCAGGAGCAGCTAGAGATGGCCAGAAGAGTAAGCTTAAGGCTACTTTTACAAACCCTGACCTAAGTTTCCAGCAGGTCTCTAGGGCAGAGAGGCACAGAGACCCAAGAGATCCACAGACTGACACAACCTCAGGTTTCCGCATCAGTGGCCACAGGGCAGTGGTCACGTGGGAATAGTGTTCTAGGCATGGCCAACGGTGGGCATGTGCCCAAGGAGGTCTATAGCAGAGCGAGCCTGAGGGCCTTGGCCAATATGATTAAAGCTGCCATCTTGACATGTGTCGTCTCTGAATGGTCTGTGGGAGGGAAGGGATAGGGTTTGCTGGGTTTGGGATTCAGTTTGAGGCCAATGATTTGAGGAAGCATTCTCAGAAATGAATGGAAGAGCACAGGGTGTTTGGACCCCTACCCAGCATCACCAGGACACCGTGACTTCATGAACAGCCTTGGGGTTGGGTTCTAGAATCCCCATATTGTGGTGGGGGGAGACGGTCCTGGAGTGGTAAAGTGACCATCCAAAGTCACACAGCTTAGTATGGGCAAAGCCAGAAGCCCACCTGAGCTCTGGCCCCAGAGTGGATGCATGGCCTCTGTAACCAGCCAGAATGGCAAGGCAGATGGGGAGGTTTCCTGGGTCTGATATAGGGCTGGGTGGCGGAACTAGCAGGTCCCCTCACAGCCACATGGAGGCTTTCTGAGGTGCTTCCAAGAGATTTATCTCTTCTCCAAATAGGGGTCTTCTGGATAGAATTCTTGCGGTCTGAGCAATTCTGGCACCTTCTTGGAAGAAAGGAAAAGAAACCCCTCCCAAATGTGGAATTCAGACTGGGACCCCGCATTAACCTCTAGGACTGCCCTCTAGGAACTGTGAGGGGATTCACCCTCCTTTCCTCCTACTGGACATCTGCCAAGTGCATCCCTTCCTGGGACAGAGGTCAACTCCCCCTTCTCCCTTGGCATGAAGTATAAGGGGAATCCTGAATGGCTGGATCAGGGATGGGGCACACTGCTCCACCCACAATGCCTCAGTAACTGCTCCAGCCTCTGGCAGACCCACCCAGGAAAGTGGATTTGACCTTTCATTCCAGCCTTTCCTGGTCCCATCAGTGCTCCTGGCCAGGCTATCCCAGGCTCATGGCCGCACTTGGGCTGAGACATCCCTGATCCTTCAGGGATCAATAAAGCTTGACCTGAAGAGTTACTGAGAAGCCCACCTTCCTGATGCCATCCCCCACATTCTCCACTTGTCTACGGAGGATGGACTGCCTGCCTTGTTTGCAGGAAAACCAGAGATGGGACCCCTTCCCTTCCCATTTCTTCCCTCCTGCCTTGGACCTCAGGGGTGCGGCCCCTACCAGGCAGAGCCTGCCCTCCACCTGCTCCAGGGCCCTTCTTCCCAGGTACAGATATAAAAGGGCCCAAATCTCTCTTGTCCTTTGATGCCCAGCAACACACACTCCTTTAGGGAGAAAGCAGATATACCATTCCCCGGCATGGGGTACACGAAACAGACACTGCCCCTAGGCCTCAGGACACACACTTGGCCAGCATCACAGTGACCCGACCACAGCTCCTTCCACAAACTCAGCCCATCCAAGCTGGCCAGGCCATGTTCCTGCAGCACCCAGGCCTCACGGACTCCACACAGCACACAGCTTTCACTGACAAACCTCCCCTTGAGGGTCACAACAACCCAATAAGATATGGCAGGGCAGGAACTGCGCGTCTCCCTCCTGCCAAGATGAAGAGCTGGGCCAAGGGATGGGCAGTGATCTGCCTAGGGCAGTTCCAGGACCAGACCCCAAGTGCCCCGGGTCTATCTAGGCTCTCATCAGAGTAACCTCCTCCCAACTGCTGTCCTCCTCCATGAAGGCAAATCTTACCGGCCTCTCAAACACCAGGCCCTGTGGCTCTTTGTGGAGGCAGTAAATGATCTGGGACCAGCATATGGGGTGACCTCCTCTGGCTCCTGGAGGCCAGGCCGGCCCAGAGCTGCCTCCTCTCATCTACCTCAACCAGGCCTGCTCCGTACCACCACGGCCCCCCTCACTGAGTCCCCTCCAACATGGGTCCATTACTGAAAACCACCTCAACTCATCCCATGCCACGGACGTAGGACACACACGGGCCACAAGACACAGCCCCCTGTCCTGCACAGACAGACCTATGTGATCATACACAGGATCACATAGACACAAAGAGGGACACACCAGACAGACAACCAGACACATGAAATCCTACTATGACAATGTCTGCTGTCAAAGAGGAACAGAGGCAGAGTCTCACAGAGGCAGGAGGGAATCTGAGAGCCCTAAGCTACCCAGCCATGGTGAGTCACACCTGCAACCACACAGTCACACCCACCACGTCCCTGCATGCTCCCACACTCACATACAGGGGCCCTGGAACACCGGCACCCTCACAACCCCCCAGAAACACCCTGACTGCTTAGGGCAGGCCCCACACACACCTTCACATCCATGCATTTATTCAGGGGCATGGCCAGGGCCAGATCACCTCCAAACCAGGTACAAGGATCCCCGAGATGCATGTACAGTCAATGCCATGCTTACTTTCCGCCTCCTTCTTTCCCTCCCTCCCTCCCGGGGCTGGCCCAAGAATGGAACAAAAGCCCAGCGTCCCCTCCTCCCCCTCCTCTCCTCCCCCCTCCCCCCTGGCGTCCAGCCCCTTTGTCCTCCTGCAGCTGAGCTGGAGCAGGAGTCCAGGCAGAGCGGCAAGGACACCAGAGCCCGGACTGCCAGGGTGCAGCAGCAGGACGTACAGGAGTGGTCAGGAGGAGAGCAGCAGCTGCAGAGCACCTGGGTGAGGCCATGGCCAGGTAAGTGCCAGGTACATCCGGGGACTTGGCCCCTGAACCGGCAGGACTGTGTGGTGTCTATAAGGCTGAGTATGTGTGTGTTTGTGTGCATGTGACTGGGTGTGGGTGTGAACAAGTAACAAGGGGGCATGCCAACTTTAGGGGCAGGACCTCTTAGTTTGCATCAGGACTCTTGGCTGGAGGTACCTAGATTCTTAGCTAGGACGGGAGAATGTCCAGTGGAGCCCGGCCTGGGAATCCCTACTGCCCACATTGCAACTGGGTCGTCCGGCCCCCAGACTGGGAATCCCCAGGATGGAAACTGTCCGAGATCCCAGTGTGGCCACAGTGCCTGGCACAGCAGATAGCAGTAGAAAGAATGAAAAAGTACTGGTGCACTTCCCAGATGACTCCCTGTCCCCCTGCATCCAGCCCCTTGTGCTGCAGGAAGAGGCTCCTCCTCACCCCCAAAGAGACCTGCCCTCCTGGATCTCAGCTCAGGGGCTGGCTGCTTTCTTGGCAAGCAGCCAGCACAGAATGGACCAGGGGCAGCATGCTCTAGGTGACCTCTCTCACCTCCCTCAGCTGGTCCTGGGCTGCTGCTTAGGAGATGCCCTCACCCTAGCAAGTATGGCTGAGTACCTAGGCATGCAGAGTCTGGTACCAGGTGGGTTCAGGGCCCAGCCCCTCTACTTGGGCATAGTTAGCTTCCTGGGACCCTGCCCACCAGGGAGCTCATTTCTATAATCCTGACATGGGGATCCACCACCCAGGATAACCGGGGCACGAGCAGTGAAAGCCAGATCTGACCTCCAGGGCAAAGCAGTCTCAGAAGAGGCAGAGCACTTGGGATCAGGAGATGGAGGGAGAGGCAAGAGGTAGAGGGCCGAGTATGCTCCCCTAGAGTAAGTTGCCACATAAAGAAGTGAGCTCCCTGTCCCGGGAGGTGTGCAAGCAGAGACTGCATATTCATAATGATCAAATCATAACCAGCCCAGTACCGTGTCCCAGTCTGTAGAGTGCTTTCAAACACCCCTCCTTTGATCCTCAGAGCAACCTCTGAAGGGCCAGTTTCCTGTGTGCTTCTTTCCTTAGGACAAACTTAACAAAGGGCGGGGGCATCTAAAAGTTGTGAGGATCAAACGAAATTATGTACATAAAAGCCAGCACACCTGGTGTGCTCCCTTCCTCTTGTGTTAGCTGAGTCTGTGCTATGTACCTAGCACTTTTCATATTCCACTTCATAAGCAACAATGCTTCATAAGCAACAATGCTGTGAGGTGGGCGTCGTGATCCCATTTCAGAGGGGAAAACTGAAGGAGAGTGACTTGCCCAGTGAGTCAGTGACAGAGGCAGGTATAGAACCTGGATTAGTCCTTAGAGCCGCTCCGTCTATCCCCCTGGCCCAGTGCTTCCTTGAGAATACAGAAAGAACTCACTAGAGGGAGGGCTAACTTCGCTCTCAGACTGGGTTCTAGTCTCCCGCCCTCCTTCCCTCTGGGCCTTAGCAAAGATTGTTCTCTAAATGGAGACGTCCTCCCTGCACTCCTTTCCCTTCTCCTGGCTTATTCTCCCTATGCTTCTCAGTCTGAAGATTCCTCCTCAGGGCTACCTTCCCTGACTCCCCTCCAACAGGGACTAGTGCCCCTTCTATCGGCTCCCACAGTACCCCATGAGACCCCCACCAAGCTGTGAGATCCAGGAGAGCAGGGTCTATGCCTGTCCTGCTCATTACCTGGCACAGAAAAGGCTCTAAATACATGTCAGATATTCACTCTGCTTAAACAGATATTAACTGAGCACCTGCTGTAGGAGAAGCTGATATTAAATAGAATAATTGGGTGCACTTGGGTGGCTTGGTCGTTAAGCGTCTAACTTCAGCTCAGGTCATGATCTTGGGATCCTGGGATCCTGCCCAGTGTCGGGCTCCACACTCAGCAGGGAGTCTGCTTATCTCTCTCCCTGTCCCTCCCCCAGCTCCTTCATGGCACACACTCTCTAATTAGTATATATATATATATATGTGTGTGTGTGTGTGTGTGTGTGTGTGTATATATATATATATATATACATATATATATATATAATTTTTTAAAAATCAGGGTTTGGTCAGTGCAGAACACCTAAGGGGATCAGGAGACAGAACAGGGTGACAAGAGGGAGCACAGTTATTCCTCCCCACACCACACTAGGTCTCTGTGGGGTAGCCTGAATCCCTTCTGCAGCTCCTGTCAGGGGACCCTTCCTATACAGGTATTTTGTGCAGGTTCCTGTAAGCTCCCAGTCCTCCCATTCAGGACCTTAGAGAGCTAAAGTCTCCCTGCTGTTGGCGGCCACGGACACTGCTTTACCCCTTCTGGGAGGTCCTAAACACTATCTACGTGTTTGTAAATCGTTCCCTTATTAGACTATCCTCAAATTATCCCATTTGAGAGCTTGCCATCTGTCTCCTGCTGA